AGGTCATTAAAAAAAAATGTGGTCTGGGACAGAAAGGCTAATACACTAGGAGCGAGGAGAACAAAAGAGTGGTGGGGTGAGGCTGGACAGAGCAGCAGGGCCATTTCAGCCAACGCCCCAGGACTCAGCCCTTTCCCAGCAGAGGGGCCCTGCGGTCCTGGGAGGCAGGAGGTAGGGGGATGGGTCCTGTCCTGCCAGTCACTATGGGATGTGCGGGCCTGGAAAGACTCTTTCTTCTCTGGGCCTCAGTTTCCCCATTTGGAGATGTAGACATGAGCTCAGATGGCCCCAAAGGCCAGGCCAGCCTGGACGTTCTATAGCCTCATACTTTCTGTCTTGGTGACTACAGAGTCCCCTTCCTGACCTCTTGATGTGGAATGCCTCATCCTCCCCCAGGAAAAGTCCTTCTGGAAACATGGTGCTCCCCTATTCCCATCCTTTAGTGTAGGACAGCCAGGCTGCCTACACCCTCCCCTGACACCGCCCTCACCCAGGGCATCGGTGACCTCCATGCTGCTAAACCGAATCAACGCTTTCAGGCCTTTTCTGGCTTGACCGCTTGGCTGCATTGGACTTGGCTAAGCACTTCATCCCAGATGCCCTTTTGCGTTAGTCTTAGAAACACCACACTCTCCGTTTTCCTCCCACCTCTCTGACCACTCTCAGTTTCTCTCTCAAGCCCTTCATCATGCTGTTCCCCCACAGGCCAGGCCCTGGGCCCAGCGCCCTGCCACCACCACCGCCACCAAGACCCACAGCCAGCTCACCCATGGCTAAATCTCACCATCCTATCCGCCCGGGTACCTCCTCGCCCTGCGCCAGGGAGAGGCACATTTGTGGTCTTCCCCAAACCGAGTAGCTTCCTTGTCGGCCAGAGCATGATCCCCAAGCCCTGTTCTGCCTTTGCCCTCCCAGCTATGGCTGGAAGCACCCTGCGGAGAGGAGCAGCCAAGGTAGAGCCTGGCAGGATGACCAAGGTTTACCCCAAAGCAGCCAGAGTTATCTGTGAGGTCCCTGAATTCCCCTCTTGGCACAGCTTTTTTTCCTTAACACTGATCACTTTCTACTTTACTACACAATCAACATGTTTATTATAGTTTCGTGTGTCTGTAAGCTCACTGTCTCCCCGGCTAGACTGCAGCTCCACTAGAACGGGGAGCTTGGTTTTGTTCAATGCTGGATCCCCAGTACCTAGAACAATGTCTGGCCCATCGTAGGGACTCAATAGATATGTGTTAAACAGGGAAAGGAAAAGGGAAAGGAAAGGCGAAGGGGAAGGGGAAGGGGAAGAGGAGGGGAAGGGAAGGGAAGGGAAGGAAGAAGAAGGAAGGAAGGAAGGCAGGCAGGCAGGCAGGCAGGCAAACTTCGCTGGAAGTGCCTGCCTGACCTACTGAGGTCCTCCAAATGGTTCACATGCAGTGGCCTTTCCCAGACGCGGAGTCCCTGCCCCTGAACCACATTCCCATTCCTGAGCCTCCAGGGAAGCCCTCCCAGGTGAGGAGCACCTGCCTCAGAGCCTCCACTCTTGACTTCCAAAGCCTCCAGCCTCCATCTCTGAGCCCCCGGTTCCCTGCAGCCTACTTTGAGTCCTCAGGGAAACTGCGACACATGCGACTGCCCCAGCCCTGGAAGCTGACCCCGACAGGAAGCACGAATACCCACCAGGGCTGCCCCGAGCTAAAAGCATGGGTGCACAATGCTGAGGAGAGAGGTCCCCTCTGTGAGGCCTGGCAGAGGGAAAAGAATGGAAACCCCACGGGGCGCAGCCTCTCTCCTCCCCACCAGTCCTGCCCTCAGGGTGGGGGACGGGATCCCACAGCTGAGTCCTGGAGGCTCCCCACCTCGGGGGAGACAGGTTCTTGCCATGCCTTTCCTTTTAACGACCCAAGTCTCAGGCCCAGGGTACAAAATGCAAGCACAGAGTCCAGGCCCCTTTGTAAAACTTTTATTTAGAAATTTTCCCGATATAGCCTTATATATATACACACATCATCACCACATGGGTTTTTTTGCTAAAGAGTCACACACCCACAGTGTTGGCCTCCGGGCTGTACAAAGGTCAAGGTACCTGGAGCGGTTACTCCTCTTCTGCAGAAAAATGCAGAGACCAACACAAGTCATCATATACAGTACAACATTGACGGAAAGTGCTGGGCCCGCCCACAGAGACAGTGCGCTATGTACACGGGCAGGGGCAAGCCTTCGGCAGGGGGCCGGCAGAGGGTCACGTACCATCGAAATCACAAGTACGGCTAGACCCACTCTCAAAAGGCCAACACAGCTGACTACAGATTCTATGCCCTTTGTTTTAATTTTGAAAAAGAATAAAGGTTGTACCATCTTGTCATTGAACACTAAAAATAAAAGAATACGAATTTTTCTTAAAAGATGTGATTCCCTCTAGTTCTTACATTCATCTTTGTTCTCCTCAAACATTTTTGATTAGGCCGGGCGCGGTGGCTCACGCCTGTAATCCTAGCTCTCTGGGAGGCCGAGGCGGGCGGATTGTTTGAGCTCAGGAGTTCGACACCAGCCTGAGCAAGAGCGAGACCCCGTCTCTACTAAAAATAGAAAGAAATTAATTGGACAACTAAAAATATATAGAAAAAACTAGCCGGGCATGGTGGCGCATGCCTGTAGTCCCAGCTACTCGGGAGGCTGAGGCAGGAGGATCGCTTGAGCCCAGGAGTTTGAGGTTGCTGTGAGCTAGGCTGACGCCACAGCACTCTAGCCCGGGCAACACAGTGAGACTCTGTCTCAAAAAAAAAACATTTTTGATTTACCTTTACATTTTTTTCTCTTTTGTACAGATACTATTCTCAGAATGTTGCATTTCTTCATGGGTGAGGAAGAGGCAGAGGAAGGGGCACAGGGTATGTATGGAGCAGGAAAATCAACATTCTGGATCTTCTTTAGCTCTTTCAAAGGCCTAGACGCCTTGCCCTTCCCCTTCCAGGCCTGTCTTGGGTAGTTCATTACATTTTACACATTCTGCCCGTGTTCCCACATCTCTTCCATTCTCATTCCTGTCTCCTGCCTTGGAATGGGGCAGAAATTAAGACAGTCTGGAGAAATGAGGACATTCCAGATAATGCAGGCAGAAGTAGTCTGCCATCTCAATGACCCAAATGCTGTGCAGTCAGGCACACTGGCCCACTGCCTCAGTCCCGGACTAGGGCGGGGAATCCCACTGCAGGATTGATATGGAGGCGAACAGAGCTCTTTATGGTCTCCAAACACTTCTACTTTCATGATCCCATTCAGTTCGCCCCACAGCATAGGGGACAGGCCAAGCCAGGGCATGTATGAGAAACTGACACTGAGAGAGTTACTTTATCCCAGTCATACTGCAAGTCTGAAACAAGAGGGAACTGGAAGCTTGAGTCCCTGATAGAATGTGTGATCCATCTCATAAAAGCCATCCACCCAGCCACACAGGCCACTTTTCATTCCCAAGTCAAGTTGATCCTCTGGGAAGCAAACACAGCCTTAGAGCCCAGAACAGTTGCCCCATCTTTAGACAGGACTCCTCACAGGATCTCCAAAGCATTGGAAAGGAACACGCCCTAATGCTCACCGACATGATCTGGGGAGTCTGGGATGGGATGGAGAGTCAGAATGCTACAGCGGTTAACCATCTTGCTCCTATGCCCAAGAACTGGCCCTGACAACTTAAAAGGAAGGGGAGGGGAGCAGGGGTCACTCCCTATCTGCATATGGCTGAACTCAAGGTCCCATCACTGTGAATGGGAGCCCTGGGCTGAAACTCAGCTGCGAGGGGGGCTTTCTGGACAGCCACAGTGATGAGTTCCTGCACGAGAGGACAGGGCCATAGGATGTCTTCCTTCCGACCTCAAAGGCAGAGCCTGGTGGGAGAGGACTGGGATGACTTAAGGGTACAATGACAGATATATAGGACTTCCATGCAGTTTGTCCCATGGGCTTGGAACGTGGGTCACAGGCAGGCCTAACCTTAAGAAAACCACGTCCCGCCATCTGGATTGACACAGGAAATAAATGAGGGAGCAATGATTCACTCCACAAAAGGATTCTTCACTTTACAAAAGGACCTGTGGTAGTTATTTCTTCCAAAGATGAACAATAAGGATTTGATTTACAAAAATTTCATGTACAGCTTTTGGAGGGGGGCACTCCTATTGCATTAAACCAACCTCCCAGGCACACCCTTGGGAACTGAAAGCTGCATAATCGAGGGGTGTGTAAGGTTCTGCTAAGTGAATGTGCATGTTTGGGTCTTGGCCAGGACCTGGTCTCTGATTAGATTACCCCTGCCCTAGAAGTGGGGCTGGATCCTGGGTCATATTGAGACCTAAAGATCCCACCAATAACTGAAGTCAAGCAAAAATCCCAAATGCAAAGAATTCATAGGACAGAGTTTGTGCTCAATTCAGAACAGAGACCTGACCACTAGCACATATGTCTTGCAGCAGGGAGATTTCTGCCAGCATCCGGGGGCATTCACAGACAGGGCTGCACACCCATGACCAGCACCAACACACACCCACCAGCATGAACAGTGATGTGTAGGAGTTGAAGCGCACATGCCCAAAATAGCTCCTGCTCATGTCACTCTAATATCATTTTCCTTTTCTCTGCCTTCACACAAAGCCCAACAGGGCACACTCAAGGCCGCAGACTCGGTCCCCACAGCCACAGGATGAGGAAGGCAAGTCTCAGTGGGGAAAAGCAGAACTTTGATCCCCAGGGCAAGAAGTAAGGGCTACTGGGTTTTCTGACCCTCTGGCCCAGCCAGTTGAGAGCAGGCTGTCCACTGGCTGTCTTCTTCAACCAGACCCTGAAGAAGGCACCTCGAGGCTTGTGACTGCAGCAGCTGGCAAGCTGGATGGATCGACAGGGGCCTGGGTGAACGATGGGGCTCAGGAAATGGGCAGCTATTGGGTACCTATGTGTTTGGACAAAAGTGGCCAAAGAGCCACCCCAGCCAGCTTGGGAGGGGCCAAAGGCAAGGCAGAGGCTGTTGGATGCCTCAGGTGAGAGTTGACGACCCCAGGTCTCAGCAAAGACAGGGCTCCCAAACTCTAGGCCAAAAGCAGTGACTCTCGAGCCTCCTACTTGGGAAGTATTAGGGATTGGGGGAAGGGGAAGACCGTGCCGTCTTCATAAAAAGTACCTACCACTTTGCTCCATTTTTCTGTTCTCTCACTGAGACAGGAAACAGAAAAGCCAGCCCCAGGGTCAGTAAAGGCTTCCCAAAGTTCAGACATCAAGGAAAGTTCACCAAGTCCATCGCCCTGCTTCAGAGCTGCCCAATTCTTATCCCCCCTGCCCTGCAGCCCACCATCCCAGTGACCTAAGGGCATCCTCCTGGCTGATCCAGGTGGTCCAGACCCATCACCGCGGGCCGGCTCCATCAGTGGTAGGCAGCATGGCCGGATGGAGGCTGCGGGCCGTGTGCTTGGGTGCTGGCTCCTCTGTGTAGCTGTCCGGGCTGGCTGCCCCATCCAAGGAGCTGCCACAGCTGGAGTTAGGGGAAAGCACATCTTGCAGGAGGTCGTCTGGGGGCGCACTACTCCCTCCCCCACCTCCACCCCCGCCAGCCCCCACCACAGGGTCCTTGCCAGGCTTGGCCCGCTGGCTGCCCTCCTCCTCCTGGTCATTGAGCAGCTTGGCCAGGAAGTTAATGTACTTCATGGCCAGGCGGAGGATCTCATTCTTGCTGAGCTTCTTGTCTGGGGGATGAGTGGGGATCAGCTTGCGGAGCTCAGCAAACGCCCCGTTCACATTCTGCTGCCGCCACCGCTCCCGGCTGTTGGTAAAGATACGCCGCACGACTTTGGTGTGGGGACCTAGAGGTTAGGAGGACAAGGGTTAGGAAAATGGGCTGGGGGTCCCCCAAAGGAATCGCCATCCATTGGGAAACTTGGGAACTTTAGAATGCCTTCTTTACTTTTACTTACAAAATACGCAGCCTTTAAAATCAAGTTCTTGTGTTTCCTCCTCTCTAAGAACTTCCCTCAACCCCTGCAGACAGATCTAAGCAACCACCACGGTCCTACAGCCCCTGATCTCCTTCACTCGTGATTATTATGTTTCTGTGCTGGTCTCCCTCTCTGGGCTGTGAGATATCTGAGGACAGGGACCATATGTCATTTATTCATTCATTCACTTGTGCCAAGAGGCCTTATAGCAGTATTTAGGAAGACAGATTCTGGGGCCAGACTTTCTGGGTTCAACTCCTGACTGTTTGACCATTTCTGACTAGTGACTCTGGGAAAGTTACATAAACACTCTGGAAGTGCCTTAGCTTCATCTATAAAATGGAAATAATACTATTAAGTCAAGTCATAAGATTGTTACATGGGTCTAATACCTAACACAGGCAAAGCATTTAAGACGATACCTTCCTCAGCTTAACCAGTCAATAAATGTCAGCTATTATTATCCATTCATCAGTTTTTTACTAACAACCAGGCACTGTGTCAGGCACTAAGGAATACAACAAACAAAACAGACAGGGCCCCTGCCCTCATGGAGCTTACATTTTCATGGGGAAGAGAGATGATGAATAAGTAGCAAACAAATAAAAACACAAACGGGGCTGAATGGTGATGAAGAGGAGCTACTATATTTACCTACAGAGTCCGGGGAAGGCCTTCTGAGGAAGTGGCATTTATAAGGCAAAAGCTTAAGGCTAAAGAAGAGCCAGCCAAGCCCAGGAAGGGAAGAGGAAGAAGAGTGTCCAAGCAGAGGGAGTGGCATGTGCACAGGCCTGAGCTGGAAGCCAGTCTGGCTGGAGTAGTGCGTGCAAGATCAGAGCAGGCAGGGTCCAGACTCCACGGAGCTCTGCAGTAAGGTGTGGGGATTTTATCCCAAGGGTGATGGAAAGCACAGAACAGGGGCTTAGTAAATGCTTGCTGACTGACTCATCTTGGTGGCAGGTGGGGAATGGAGGGAAGAGCAGAGACCAGAGCAGAAAGGCTCTCACCCCAGGAGAGGAGTGGAGAGACACAGGTATGGCCCATGGCTGTAGGCAGGCTCCCAAGGGCGGCCCCAGTCTCCCCATGGCTATATAGCACTGATTATAGCTTGGTCCAGTAGTCACTAGCATTCCGTGTACAAAAACTTAGGGAGCAGTGGCAAACACCAGCACACATGTATTGAGCACCTATGGTGTGCAAAGCACTATGCCAAGTGTTCAAGCCTGACCTCGGATTCCCAAAGCCAAGGGAAGACAAGGAAGGCCCCGTCAGTGCTCCTGAGCTCCAGGGCTGAGCAGACAGCTTCCTTCCCTAACACCGAGGTACACAGCCAGGCTCACACCATCCTCAGGAAGCTCTGAGCACTGAAGGAACTGCCAATCCTGGGCTATCTATCTGCCCTCTTCCAGTAAGTCCTGGAACCAGACCTCAGAACGTGGAAACTTGGGTGGGTGAGAGGGAAGCGGAAGGGCTAAGACCTCCCCTAAGTCCCACTGCTCATTTTACAGCTAAGGAGACTGAGGCCAGGATGGAGGCAGACCTTGCCTCAGTGGTCAGTGTGCGACCCAGCACGTTGTGCCTACACTTCCTGCCTGATCGCCTCTTTCTCTCTCCTACATACACATGCACACACACCCCCACTATGTTCCCGGGCAGGATCACTCATGCCCTGCCCACATCGCCTCTGAAACTGTCTTTCCAAATCCAAGCAGGCGACAGCTCAGCTGACTCTTTGCCAAAGGCCAAACCCAGGCTGGGAAAACACAGCACACCTGCTGGGCAGCACACCCTAGGCTGCCTCAGAGGAAATAATTTGCTGTTTTCGGGCCACCAGGCCAGAGGGAGGGAGTCCCTCAGCTGTGGCACAGGGAGAACCAGTCCCTGCACCGTGGCTAATGCTGGTGATCTTGAGGGATCTCCTAGTTGGGGAGGGGGGTACTATAACTGCTGTCACAGAGCTAGACTGACTCCAGAAAGGGAGGTGGGTGGGGGTAGTCAGGACTTATTCCAAAGCTTAAGACTAGTGCTATGCGAGTGGTACAGGACTCAGCTGTGTGACCTCAAGCAACCTGCTTAACCTCTCTGAGCCTCAATTTCCTCATCTGTGAATTGCAAACAATAGTATTGACCTCACAGGCTTGTAGTGAGGATTAAATAAAACCCAAGTGCACAAAGTCCATTGTGCATAGTAGGTGTCTAATAAATGGCTGCAATTATTGTACTCACTTGCCCCCATCCCCACCCTCTGAACCATGGCCAGAGGACTGCTCCGTGATGAGCAACGTGCCAGGCACTAGGAGTACCATCACAGAAACAGACAAAATCCCCACGTTAAGGAGGTCCCAGTCTATGGTGGAGAGGGGCTTACCGCCCCTGCTATCTCATTGTTCTCTCTCAATAATCTGGGAGGAAGCTACTATTCTCCCCATTTACAAATGAGGAAACTGAGGCCCAGAAAAATCCAGCAATAGGAAATCACATCAAGTCCTGACTCTAGATCTTGCATTAGTTCCACTCCTATGGATGCTTTTTGATTCAATCTCTAATTCCAAAGTCCTGTGGACACATCCTGCACCCACCCCCCCTTCACCTACATTTCTGCCTTTTCCTCTCTGGCTGCTTCCCAGAGAACCACCCCCTCTCCGCACCTTCCTCCTTCCTGAATCTGTCCGTCCTTCTGGAGTCCTCTGCCTCTCTCTGACCCAGCACTGAGTAGGTGCTCAGTAAAAACCGGTAACGTCTACAGGTGATGGCTTCTCCACACTCCTGCACTCCCTGCAAACACCCTCTGCCCCGTGCCCACCTCCTCTGCCTCTTGTAAAAAATGCCACTTTCCTGGGGAACTTTAGGGCTGGTCCCACTTACTTCCTGTTCAGTGCACCCCCCTGCCGTTAACTAGAGAACCCCTCTCTAATCTAGCAGCACTGCAGCCCCAGCACCCTTCCCCCTCACCCCACCCTTCTCTCTCAGCCCTACACACCTGTGCCCCAGGCTGGTTGGGTCTTTTGAGGTCTCTTCTATTGTCTGGATCAAAGCGCCCCCTCCTCTCCAGAACACCACAGAGGGCTCGCTCCAGCTCCAGAAGCTCCAGCTCCATACACACATCCCTCCTGCCAGCTGCTAGCATAAATCCCAGCCTGGCTCTGAGGCCTCAGGTGCCCTTCCTACGGGAGCCCCAGGCTGCAGCCAGGCAGAAGCCCTGGGAGCATCAGGGATTTGCTTAAAGTCCCTTAGCTTTAAAGAGCCTGCTCTCCTGCCGCTGGTGGCAGGACCCATCTACTACATCAGGTCAACCCTGGGAAGAGGATGAGAGTCCTCCAAGTCTCCCACTCCCGCAAGTTTAGGGCCAAAGAATATTCAAGTAGTTCATAGTAGCAGTGCTGAAGCCCTTGTCGGGGAATCCAGGGAGCAGGGTAGAATCTATGGTGTCAGGAAGGGAACTCCAGGTCTCAGCCCAAAATGCACATCAGGGGACAAAGGGGACCCCTTAATGTAGGGGCCTGGAAGGAAACCCTGGAAAATACCACTCCAGGCAGGAAGCAAACTTCAAACTCCAAAGAGGAACTGGGAGGAGGTACAGGGAATCCCTGAGGGTCAGCGCCTAGAGTCGGGGGCACTATGTGATTCCGCCCTCCCCTGGGATCCTTGCCAAAGTGCAGAAACACAGCTTAGAGTGGGCACTGGAACGGACTCTAAAGGTCTGGGCTAAGCACCACTATGTGTCCCTCTCCCACATCCCCTCTTCCCAGGACTGTGAGTGTGGCCCTCCCAGACCCACCACCCGGACTTCACCTAGTCCCAGCTCAGTTGCAGGGTGAAGGGCTTCGGCAATTTGGGGTCCCAAGGTGACCTGCCCACACCTACGGAGTAGTCCCCAGTGTTCCCTCCTGCAGAGGGCTCTAACCAGCATGAGGGGCAGATACAAAGGTGGGATGGGGAGACTCACCATCAGTAATCTCCATCTCATAGGGGGAGGGTCTCCTCTTCACTCGGTTGTTGGCAGTGAACATAGGGAAGGCATCAGGCTCCCCAAAGAACCCACTGGGGGAGGGAACAGGCAGACCACAAGATCACGCGTTGGGTGGAGCGAGAAAGAGGCTCCTTAGGGATCTTCCCTATGTATCTTAAGCCACCCCCACCCATGGAGGGCAACCCTGCTCCCTTCTCATTTGCACTGGGGATAGACGGAGCATTAAACAAATACACACACACACACACACACACACACACACACACACACACACACGGAATGCCCCTACCCTCTCCGTCATGAAACAAGCAAAGGGAGGAGGAGCCACATATCCACACTCCCCTCCACACACACACACACACACACACACACACACACACACACACACACACGAAAGAAGTGAACACGTGGAGCAAACACAAAACTAACAGACACACACCCCACAGACACACTCTCCTCCCCTGGAAACAAGCACACAATCCACACAGACACCTCCATTCCCAAATACGTTCCCACACAGGCAGATGTGACCTGCACACCTGATGCGCAACTCCAGCACACTCTCCCCTCCCCCAGCCTCCCTCTTCTTTCATCCTAGCCACATGGGGCTGTGGAGGGCAACAGACAGAACACCCTGACTCCCCACCACTGAATGCCTCCTGCTGCTCCTGTCATCCCCACTCTGGACTCTCTATAGCTGTTTTTTTTCAGAGTCTCCTGCAGACTCACTGACTGTCCCACCCTCTCTATCCGTGCCTCATCTTCCTGTCCTCATTCCAACCCTGCACCTCTCTCCGTGATCACTGTGGCCCCAGCAGGGAAACAGATGCCCTCACCCGAAAGGGAGTACAGGCCAGGTGCAGGGACCACAGATAGAGACAGAGGGGCTAGAAGTGAAGAGACAGATCGGTCCTCAGGCCGGTGATCCAGCAGAGATTCAAAGAGGGGTGCCCACTGCCACCACCCTCAGATCCTTATCTCTTGCCTGTCCACCTAGCATTGCAGGTTCCAGAAAAATTTCACACCCCTAGCAGCAAACACCCACCTGTGCTCACAGTGAAGCACATTCAGACACACTTACCTGGTACCCGCACTCGGGGGACTCCCTCCCATAGACCCCGCACCACCATCACACAGCACACCGTGCTTCTACTCACAGCAGCCACAGCCTGCACTCCACGCCACCCCCGGGGTGCAGCCCCGCCCCTTGGCTTCCGGACACCCGTGCACCCCCAGCCACATCACTCTCCCACCAAGGGCTCCTCTCTCACTTGCGCGGCTGGGGGTGGGGGGGTCCACAGCTTCTAGGCTCCTACGCCCAGGGGTTTAAAACGACCTCCTCTCTCCCTGCTCCACCCGCACAGCCCGGCAGGTAGGAGTGCTGTGGCCGGGGAAGTGCGCGAGGAGTGGTCGACGCCCGCGCCCTCCCGCCCAGCCCCTGTCCGCGTCCCGGTCCCCTGACCTGCCGAGCGAGGCCAGCGGCTGGCTGAGGCTGTAGAGCAGCGCGCGGCCGGGGGCGGCGGGGGCCGCCAGCGCGGGCGGGCTCAGCTGCACCATGCGGCTGTCGCTGGGCAGCTCCGCGGGGGCCGAGGCGGGTGCGGGGGCAGGGGCGGGCCCGGGAGGTCTGCACAGCTCTGTGGTGGGCACCCGATGGCGCGCTTCGGCCGCCGCTGCGTCGCGGCCCTTTAAGTCTCTGGCGGCGCCGCCCCCACCGGCGGGGCCGCCCCCCGGGCCGCCGCGCGCGCCCAGCTCGATGACTGGGGGCTCCGCGGGGGCCGCGCGGCTTGTCTCCTTGGCGACGCCGTTCAGCAGGACCAGGTGCGGGGGGGCCATGCGGGCATCGGCCGCGTCCCGTCCCTCTAGCGGGGGGTCACTGCGAGCCGCCTCGCTTGGCGGCCGCTCCGTCATCCTGCGGGCAAACAGACAGACAAGCGGTCGCCCGCTCTGACAATCGCCGCCGACCCACCGACACTGGGTGGGGCAAAGGGGTGAAGAGGAGAGAGAACTCACGGACCGAGACAGGAGAAAAGGCCGACGAACTTAGCGCCACGTGGACACATACCCGCCCTCGGGGCCTGAAGGCCGGGCGGGGCTGGGGGGAGGGAAAGGGGGTCTCTGGGTTGGGAGAAGGGAGGAGGGTGCCTGGGACACACAGAGACTGAGGGCCAAAAGGACAGAGATGGAGAAAGATGACAGAGACATGGGGGGGGGGGAAGGAATACAGCCAGCAAAAGAAAAACAGAAGGGATAAAAGGAGGAAGGAAATGTACAAAGAGGAGAGAAAGATTACCCCGTCCCCCTTCTCAGACCACCAGAGAAGAGGAAGGGACAAATTCCCGGCGGTGTTCTTCCCCGCCGCCTTTGGTTTGGGCAGGGGCTCTGTCAGGCAAAGGCAGGGGTGCTTTTGGAACCTCCCTTCCCCTCTCTGCAACACCCACCCGCAGCCTACCCCCAGACACACACCCAGAAACCTGGTGGGGATGGAAGTAGGGAATTAGGGAATGGGTACCGAGCCTGGAGTTCACTCTGCCAGAGCTGGCAAAGAATGATCTGGAGGAACCAGCTCCCCCAACACATATTCACCCCTCTGGGGGGGGGAGGGTGCCTGTCTGCACTAAGCAAACCCACTGTGGGTTCTGTACCCTGTTGGTAACCCCAGCCGCCCTTTCCTCCCATGCGGACCTGGAGATGAGAGGTCTCCAAGGGAAAAATATGATCCTGGCCCTACCTCCCTGCAGCTGGTTCTGTTCAGCTCCACACGAGGCGGGACTCAGAAGTGAGGGCAGGTCTGAAAGGGAGGCCTGGCTGAGGTGGTGTGGAACCCAGGCATTTGAAGGCCAGTGGGGTATGGGTTCCGGTCTAAGAGCAGGACAAGGTATTCTTCCCAGGCGGTGAAGGTCCTTCCAGCACCTGTCCCCTTCCCTGCCTCCTGCCTCCATGTTCTTCTTTGGGAAATAGGAGGAATACCTCCTTTATGCACTTAAAAGAACTGTGCAAATGTTCAAGTAAACATTATTATTTTTAACTACGAGAATGGGCCAGTGAGAGGACTGTCCGGCCTAATGTTGCCCACAGCCTGCCAGTTTCAGAGACAGACCAAAACCCTGATCTCACTTTGACTGCTCTGCCCTCCCATATGTCCCCCACAAGCATACTCCAAGATGATGGCAGCTGCTCCACTTCCCACAAGTGTGTAGGGTTCTTCCACCACCGGGCTTCATCCAGATGGAGTTAAGCCCCAGCAAGAACCAAAACAGAAAAACCAGGAGACTCTAAGTCCAGAGTTTGAGGATGCTTGTGAGGTTTTAGTAATTAAAAAAAATAAAAATAAAAACACAAAGCCAGGCATAGTGTTGCTGGTGTCTGTAATCCCAGATACTCCGGAGGCTGAGTGGGGAGGATCACTTGAGCCCAGGAGTTTGAGAAGACCAGCATGGGCAACACAGCAAGACCATGTCTCAAAAATAAATAAAAATAAATAAATGAAATAATAAAAAATAAAAATATAATCAACCCAACAGGCTTCATAAGTTGTTGAAAATAAGGCTTCTGCTCTCAGAATTGTATAATTGGGGGCTTTTTTTTTTTGAGACAGTCTCACTCTGTTGCCCTGGCTGGAGTGCAGTGGCACCATCAGAGCTCACCACAACCTCAAACTCCTGGGCTCATTCTATCCTCCTGACCCAGTCTCTTGAGTAGCTGGGACTACAGGCACAGGACACGACCCCCCCCCCACTAATATTTCTATTTTTAGTAGAGACGGGTCTCACTCTTGCTCAGGCTGGTCTCCTGAGCTCAAGCGATCCTCCCACTTCGATATCCCAGAGTGCTAGGATTACAAGCTGTAATTGGGGTATTTTAAAGAAGAAAATAAATACACAATCCAATTCAGCAATGCAAAGAGTCCATCTAAACATTCATGGCAGCCATTGAGTTCCCATTATGCCCCTGCAATGCTCTCGACCTGACTGATCCTGGGAACAATCCCGCCCACCCCAAGGAAGACTGGACCTTCCGGAGCCTCGTCGGGAGCCCAGTTCTGACTGACACCGGAGCCGAGGGAGAATGTCGATTCAGACTGAGAGCCTGCTCTGGGTCTGCCAGCCCCCCAGCCTGGACCAGAAAAGACAAAATTCCCCGGACCTGGTATACACGAGCTGCAAAGGCAGTGGGAACCTGACGCTTCATTGGAAGCGAATTTACGATTATGGCGGAGACAATAGGTTTGTATTCACAGAATGCGACCGCCAAGACTCTGCGGCCACTGGAAATGCACCAGAAGTCTATCAGCCCAGTCCTCCCGCTCCCTGCAGCTTGAAATGCACCAGAAATACACCAGCCCCTGACGAAACGTGCAAGCCCCAAGGTGCTGGCTCCCTACCTCATTGTCCCGACAGACCAGCGTGTGCCCCGTGACCTGTGCTTCAGCTCCAGCTTCTAACGGAGTGACAATGTGCCCTGCTCAAGCTCTGTTATGACACACTTATACCCTCTGATTAATTCCTCAGCTCTGCAATAGGAGCGGGTTCCCGAGGGGCAATGGGAGTGAGTACATATTCCAGATGAATTGACCCTGGCCCCAAATGCCCTCTCCAGACACCTATAAATATCCATATCTCCAAGGCTCCCTGTGAGAAAGGTATGATTGGACCCCAGGTCCATGGCGGACGTCTCCCGGGCTCTCCCGGACCTCAGGAAAATCCGCCCGCTCTTCTGCTACCGGGATCACCCCAGCCGAGGCAGCCACCGGAAAACTCCCAAGCAAGCACCGAACGTTGTCGGCGACTAAACTGCATCACTTGGCTTGGGTTAAGATTACAGAAAGGAAAACCTAAGTGATTTCCATTTATTTGTTTTCATTTGGGGAGGATGGAAGAGGAGGGGGAAGGTTTCGCACTAGGTCGCACTGCACTCGAGTATCGCGACCATGGCGACTCCTCTCTCTTTGTGCCGCGGAGACCCAGCTCGCAGCCCCTACCACCGAATCCTCAGCGCCCGTTGCCAGAGGGCCGGAACGTTTCCCCGTGGGCCTGATCAAGACAGGAGATCCCGGGAGCTCCTGCTTAGGGGCAAGCGAGGAGTCTCCAGCAGCTCCCTATCCCCGGTACAGAGAATTTCTTAGACGAAAACAGCCATCGCCTTGGACCCGGCCTCGGGTCCCTCCTGCTGCACCCACACTCTCAAGACAACCTGGGGTAGCCCCCAGTTTGCACCAGAACCAAAACCGCAAGTGAACTGCACCCCTACCCCCGCGGCTACGGGCGTGGAAGGGTGTTCCAGCGCGGCCCCGCCCTAGGCCTCAGGCTCCGGGTCAGGGCCCACCGATGGGGACTGCGCTAGCCAGCCGGGCTGCAGCCTTTTTCCTGCGCTAGCTCCAGGCACCGCCTGCACCACCCGGATATAGCCGCCCCAAAGTTACTGGCCTTATGAAACGTCCACAGAACCCAGACCGATGGGAGAGGCCTGGGGGAGTAAATCCAACCAGCTGGTTTTACCCAGGGAGGAAAAAAGGAAAGGGCCCTGCTTCTAGGCCACAGAGGCAGCTAGCCGCAGTCCGATCCCGGATCCCGAGCCCAGCGCCGCTCTCCCCTCCTCCAATCTGAGACTGGGCTGTCCTCGTCCTGAGCCTCCCCAAACCCGGGCCGGAACTCAAGGCCTTTCTGGACACCGTTTCCACCGACACCATCGCCCCCGCCAAAAAACTCACCTGGGGCATATTTAGAGATACCAGCCCCTCTGAACAGGATCTCCCACTCCTCCGCTGGAGCGGGGCGGAGGCCGATGCCGAGGCTGTGGACTGGGGTCTTTGCTCTCCCCCTCTCTCGCTGCGAGGCCTGCAGTTAGGCTGCGGTGTGGTCCTCCGCGGTCTGCCGCGCCCAAAGCGAGTTTCCAGGAAAGATGGGGGGTGGAGAGAAAGAGGGAGGGCGAGAGGGAGGGAGAGAGAGAAATGGGGGTCAATGGCTGGGAGTTACCTCATGTCCCCGGATAACCAGCCCAGGGAATCACGAACAGTTTTCCGCCCCCAACATGCAGGTGTTTGGAGCCTCTCCCCAACCCCCAGTGAAAAGGAACACTACACCTGACCAATCAGGAATAACTATTTAGTCCAACAACAGCCACCCCTCCCGGCAGGCTGCCCAGAACATTTTCGAACCCTCCAACTGGGATCGATCTGGTTCAGTGTGGCCGAGTTTGTTTTCTAAGCACCGACGTGTCTACGCGGTCGGCTCAATAACCCCGGCCAAGCCTGAGCTGCGGCCACACCGCGAAGGGGTAGTCCCGGGCTTGATGTGGATCGGTGGGAGGATGTGTGGAAAAGGGCGACCCTGGTCGGTGGGGCAGAACTTTGGAGACTCATATTCTCTCCACGACCCCCACCCACCTCCAGCCCAGAGTGAAACCACAACCCAATTCCAAGGACTGTACTTTCCTACAGGAATGGAGTGTGTGTGTGTTGGGGGGGGTAGATATATGATCTATTCAGATCCCGTCTTTTCTTCCTACCGATTAAGAAAAGAAAGAAAAAGAAAGGAAGGCAGAGAAAGAAAAGAAAGAAAGAAAAAGAAAAATTCCTCACCTTCTCCTCCACCACCCCTACAAAACAATTTTCGATTTTTTCAGGGGTTTAGACAGGCAGAGTAGGGGGAATTCTAATAATTTGTTGCAGCGATAAACAAGGCAAAAGGAAGAGAGGCTAAAAACAAACCCGATACTGCTTCCAAGGGTGTAGCCGATTTCGTTTGCTTTTATTTTTTCCCCAGTGGGTTTTGTTTAATTTGTTTTGCCTAAATCGTCCAGTTTATGATCACACATCGAAGTCTTGGATTAATTGCGAAGGCCTCCTTGTATTTGCCGTAGCTTTGGTGGAAATATAGGAATAATTCTTCCCTGGGTTTCAATACAATGCAGAAGACTTTCTCCTCCTCTAATCCAAACGAAGGCGGGGAGGAAAGAAGGGGGCAATCCACCCATTCCCGGCGTTAGTTCGTGGGGTTAATGTTTGTTTTATGACGGAGCCTCTGTGTCCGTCCCTCTCTCCATTTTCTCTCCCTACCCCAAACTCAGCAACTTAGAAAACAGAGCTGGGGGCGGGCAGCAGCGCTGCTTTGTTCTCCCTCCAAAGAAGCTAAAAGGGACAATCTGCTGCGGTCTCGGACGATTATTTTAATTAAAATAGGGTATTAAAGATGACGATTGTGATGGTGATGGCATTAACAATCACAACAAAGTCCTCTCATCCCGAGCAAGCACCGCACTAACCCCGTCCCTCCACGGGGCCCTGGCTCCGCCGTGGTCGCCGTCTTGACGGGTACCGGACCCACGCGGGAATGTCGCTCACCCGAGAAGGGGTAGGAAAATGTTTCCCGGAGGGGATCCTGAGGATCCCCTACCTAGGCGTAAGGCCTGGAGAATGTGCCCATTGTCCTTTCCTGGCCTCTCCCCCGGACCCTGGCGGCCGCACCCACGAAACTGACCCGAAATGGACGTGGCCGAAGTGTGGCGAGAACCGAAGCCCGCTGCTACCGGCGTGAAGGTTCGGGCCTCGGCGAGCGCTGCTCAGCTTCGCGCCTGGAACAGCCTCCCACTCGCCAACGAACCCCTCAAACACCAAGGCACAGACTGGCCTTCGGACAGAGCAGCCGCGGGCCTGGCTCTGTCGGCCCATCCAAGCCAATGCTGGCTCCCGAATACATCATAATTTGGAATAAAATGTGAAATCCCGCTCCCCGCCCCCCATGCCGCCGCCCCCACCACAGCCTCGATCTCCCGCTCGCCCTCCCCCCACTCCCGCCCCCAACGATTTGCAAATGCATCTCTAAAGGACACCGGCACACAGGCACACGGCTCAGTGGGGACGCGATCACACAAAGCCCAGCCCCACAGAGGGGAAGCAAATAAACACAACCCAACACGGCCCAACCCAACACTGCCCCACAAGCCAACGTGGTCAGACCCGCACACCGTCCAACATGACACAACTGAATCAGTCAAATGCAGTCTCACGGACACACAACCCAGCATCATCAGGGTCACGCACGCCCGACGTAACAACAACCACCAAACACAGTCGCCAAGGCCACACAACCCAACGCACGGAACAGGAGAGAAGCCCTGTTGACCATCACAACGAAGACGACGCACAAGGGCCTCGAAGGGTCCAAATCTACACACCCAACCAGCGCAGACACCACCACACTCCACACACGACCCACCGCCCAGAAGGCCACACGCGGAAACAGCGCTGCCACAGCTCACACGAACGCACTCTCATAATGCCACCGCATGCACACAGCCACGAAGAAGAAATGAAAACCAACCACCGCCTCGCGCGTTTCTGTATATTGCGTAAGGAAAAAGGGGAAGGAAGAGAGTCTCCAGGGCGGGAGGGGCGGCGGCAGCGAGGGCGGGCGCGTCGGGGAAAGTGCTCCCCGCTCGAAAGAAACCGAGGGAAAAGGAGCGAAGACCTCTTTTGCGGGCGTGGGGGGAGAGAGGGAGGAAATCGATGAGGAATTCCGCGGGGGGGCGCGGGGTGCTTTTCCTCTAGAACGGGCCCGGCTGCTCACGTTTTTCCGCCGCGGGGGTCCGCGCGTGGCCGTTTTGCGGCCCGGTCCTCGGCGGCGGAGGCCCGCCCCTGCCGCCCCTCCCGCGCCCCCGCCCGCTCCCGCCCCGGCCGGCCGCAGCGGCTCCCGCGCCCGCGCCGCGCTCTAATCCCGCTCACGTCCCCGGCCTCGTTAGCATGGGCCGCGGCGCGCCGGGGCCGTGTGCGCCGCCGAGATAAGGCGCTGCCGCGGGTCCGCCCGCCCCCGATAAGCGCCTCGGCCATTATGGGCCAAATGATTCATTTTAATTTGGCAATTTCACCGGAGGGAGTGGAGGCCGGTTGCGCGGCGCTGGGACCGGCTCCGGAATGCGCCGCGGAGAGAGGCGGGCGCGCTGTCTGGGACCCGGGGATCCAGCCCCGTCTCTGACCCCGCGGACTCTCAGGAACCCCAGCTCCCCACCACCTCAGTCCCTTGGCCTTCCAGACACCTTTCTTCAGCCATTCTCACCGCAACACTCGGTCCCCGGCCCTGAAGGCCACCAAGACACCAAAATCATCACCTCCCAACCCTTCTTTCTTCATTCGTTCTTTCTCCAGTGTCCTAGACACCCAGATTTCACTGTTCAGTTCCCCTTATCCCAGAAAGCTCCCCAGCTCCGCCCTGGTCCTCTAAAATAGAGCCAGTGAGTCAAACCCAAGGGGCCCTGTGGGGGCTCCTGATGTCAAAAGAGAGATTAAAATGTCCATTCTGCTGGGTTTCAGGCTGAGCCCAGAGCACAGGGACACTGCTCCACACAGAACAGCTTTTTAAAACGTTTTAATCTTGCTACTGAAGCACTGTTCTAAGCACTCTACAGATACTAACTCATTTACTCTTCATAAATAATCCTGATAAGTTGGTGCTATTATTATCCTCAATTTACTGATGAGGAAACAGACACAGGAAGTAAAAGTCCCTTCCCAATGTTACATCTCTAGTGAGTGGTGAAGCCTGGGTTTGAAGGCAATTGGGCACCAGAGACTTCTCTGGAGCTCAGCTGGTGAAGAAGAGAGACTAGAACCCCGGGCTGGCATGAGGGATCTGGACTCAACTCACTGCAGGGACCAAGGTCTAGTGTCATCTGGGTGACTGGGGTTCAGCCCCTGGAAGGTATCTGGGTTCATGGTGGAGTAGAAAAATCACAGGCTTAAATTTTACTCACTTAGCTCCAGACCTCAGTTTATCTGTAAAACGAGGAGATAATACCCACCTCACAGAGTTGGGAGAATTAAATAAAATGAACTTTAAAAGGTGGTAGTGAGGGAGAACATGTATGGAGCTTCACCCAGCCATGGCCTGGGACAACATCTTATGCACTTGCGTGGGACTTCTGGTTGTCATCATAGGGAAGGAAATTAAGGCACAGAGAAATGTGACTTGGCCAGAACCTACAGTGATGCAGAGAAAAAGCCAAGATCCAAACTCTGGTGTCCGAGTCCACAATTCTACCCACCATGCCAGGCCGCTTTGTCCTTCTAGTATCTCTGGTTTTGAGCTCCTTTTGGAGCCTGAGAACAGGTGAAAAGCCCCTAGTTTGGTCACAGACTGAGTCCCAGTCAAGGACTGAGCCCAGAGTGTGGCTCCAGTCTGGGTTCTGGCTTCTCTTTGGTCATCAGGCCAACTCTCTGAGAAGATACAGCTAATTCAGTGCTGCCTTTGCCCTCTGTTCCTCTAGTGCTCTGTGATGGAAGTCAGACTGCCATGTGGACGCAGGTAACTTTCACAGAATCCCGTGGTAGAAGGGCCACTCATGTTCTGAGAAAAAGAGCCCAATTCCCCCTCACCTTTGCTTGGTGGCATCACTTAATAGAGTGCAGTCATGTAATTCTGAGTTTGAAACCTAGCTCTGCCACTCTTAGGCTGTGGGACCCCTGGGCAAATCATTTCATGTCTCTTAGCCCCTAGAAAACAGTCTAGCCATTCCCGTATAGGAAATCCCAGGTGGGGACTGCTTCCCTGAGAAAATGAGGCCTGGACTGAGATCTAAGAGTGGAATTTGGGCAACAGAGAGAAGAGGGAGCATCCAGAACCTTCCAGGTGGGCTGAGGAAGCAGCTGGGCCAAGGCTGAAGCAGAAGGGCTGTAGGCTTATGAAAGGAACAGAAAAGAGTCTAGTATGGCTGGTGCAAGCTTGTGGATGACATAAAGGACTTTTTGGAACCATTTTGTTTGATTTGAAGGTGGGCATATTATCTTATATGGGATCAGATTTGCATTTGTAGAAAGCTCTTTGGCAGCATTGTGGAGTAGGGGTGTGT